GATATAGCTAGCTAACTCAATAAAAGTGGTACGGATAGCTAGCTATCACAAGCCGATATTGCCCGATAACATATTTTTATAGCTAGATAATCTCAAAGGCATTTTTTTGCTTGGGATAACATATCTTCAGACTATTGTGAACGACTGATTTCTTTTTCTTTTTTATTTCTTTCTTTCTCACCGTCAATTTCTATATGTAATACTTATTAATATCTCAGACTAAAAGTGTTCGTCTAATATTTCTGCTACTGTTTCGTTCAAGAAATTGGCCGAAATATTAAGCCTGATCGAAAGAGAAATGTCTCTTCTTCGAAGCGACTTACTTACAGAAATTATATATTTAGTCTGAAACGAAAATATTGTTATTGCTTTTGCATTCAGTCACTACGTGTATTAGCGATAAGGATAAGCGTGTTGCATAAGAAAGTTCTTGTACTTTTGCATAACATTTACCGATAAGATTGAGACGGATCTTTGAACTTGACAGTTTTTGATAGCGTCCTTTCTTCCAATGACTTTCAGCTATAAATCATATAAGATTGTCAAAATATTTGTTACATTTTCTAAAATATTTTTATTTTTTAATAAATTATCTATCAAAGAATGTATAGCTTTAAATGACCAATTAGCGTTAAATACTTTAATAGCTTTATTATTTAATATAGACAAATAAATACTGTTCATCCCTAATATATATTCTAATTGTTTGTAAACAAGACTATTTGCAATTGTATAGTGCCATAAATGAATAGTATTCAATTTTCTATTTATTATATCTTGTTGCAAAATAGTATTTATTGTCGATTCATCGATTCTATTTTCTGTTACAAATTTTAAAAGATCGCTTATTTCCTTTAAATTCTGAACATTTCTTAGGTTTTGCAGAAAAGTGTCAATGACTTCTATACTCCATCCAGTTCCAATATCAGCTAACAGTAATTCTGCAATGTTATTCATCTCGTCGGTCGAAATTTTCGTATCAAAAACGTTTTCTAATGATCTACATAACCATAAATATTTAACCATTTTCATCCAATTATCCTGCGTTTCTCAAGTCAACCAATCGACGACACTGTTATGATCCGATTTTTGTATGCTAAGTAACTCATTGATTTGTGTCAAAGTAAGATGGTATCGGTTTCTTTTTCTCGGTCAATAATTCTAATATTCTATCACGTTCTTCACTATAGACTGTGTAATTATTAGCTTTTTCAAAAGTATTCAGATTGAGATAAAATTTTTCTATCTCATCATTCTGTTCAGCAATATTTAACTCGACTAAAATTTCGCTACATAGAAGTTCTCTTGGCCACGCTACATAGAAGTTCTAATGATACCAGCCTGAATTGCACGATCATTCGTATCATTTAACACTTTCACCAAACTCTCAATCACCTCTTGAGGTAATTGTTGCCCACATTCTGCCGGATAACCTAAGATATAGATCGCTTTATGCTGTGCTTTATTATCGTTACTATCTAGTATCTTTCCTAGATTGACTAGTGCTTCATTTGTTATAAATGGCTCAACAATATTCGTATCTTGATGTAATATCCAAACATGTAATAATTCTTTGTAGGCCAATTGTACAATTATTTTGCTAGTAGATCGATTTACTTAGTTGTTCATTTAAAATTTGAGTAATACAAATGATATCACTTATGTCAACTTCATTACTACTTATAATTGTAATTATAGTGTATTCTGCATTTACAATGACATCGTCATTGTTAGACTGAATCAACAGATTTACCAAATTCTTTAATATATTTCCTATTAATGGACTTGGCAGTGAAGTATATTTCGCGATATCATTCAATATTTTTATAGACTCAACTAACTGCTCTTCGCCTAACTTATCTAGCTTCTTTTCGAGTATACTATTTAAAGTATTCAATTTGTACGTTAGTTGCTGCAAATTTGGATAATTAGGGGGATGAGGGTGAGGGTGAGCACTAGCAAAATTTCCAAGAGATAAATTATCTTTGTTGCTGAAGATGGCTGTATTTTTCATTTTCTTTATCCACTGTAAATTTAACGCATTTGTTTCCGCTTCAGAGTCATTTAATCCTTCTTCTATAACTCTTAGTTCATATTCTTGTTCTTTCTCTGTTATTAAATGATTAACTTTATTCTGTAATTCATGAGTTACTTTTCCTATGAACTCTTGATTATTGATAGTTGTTAATACGAATAGTAAATAGTCTTCTACTAACTTATCTTGGACTCGAGTTTCATCACGCTTTCGTAATATGTCGAGATATTTCGAGACATTTTCTTCTGAGTACAAAGATCGAAAGTATTCCAGATTGTGATTATTGGCTGCTGTTTTTTTTTAAAGCATGAGCAGCATACTAATTAATGTCTTGATTATCTAAGGCTGCTATCAAACGTGAAACTATGTCATCTGAGAGTGTTGAGCTATCCACGGAAAATAAAATAGAAGCTGCTGCGTCTTTTCTAATTTCTGTATTTAATTCCGATTCTAGTAGTAGCTTACTAAGTTTCTCCAATGTTTGGTCATCTAATATCCCATTCCTTTGCGATTCCATTCTAAGGATTCTATACCCTTGTAGTACCCCTCTATACCCTTCTAAGTTTCTATACTCTTGTTAATAATATTCTTACCTAACAATACTTTTACTGTCTTTATCACATTTGTCGATATAAATTGACCATTTTTAGTAGCTCGATATAATATTGATAGAATATCAGTTTGAAGTTCATCTTTGGTATTGTCACTATTTAAAGTAGTACCTAACAGTTCTATCAAAACGTTAGGCAGCGTCTGATCATTTTTAATTACGTAATTTAGACAAGTTATTATCTATCTGTATATATCGCTATCCTCTCGACTCTTTAACAGTACGTATTCAAAAGTACAAAATTATTTCCAGTTAAATACTGCTGCCTGTCTTTAGCAGCAATAAGTAGTTTTTGTACAAATTCATTCCCTTTTGCATTTTCGAATCTTTCATGTAAAGCTTGACCACATTGCTCAAGTTTTAATATATCACTTATTATCTTAGGCAATTGTTGATTCTTACTGATATTCTCTAAAGCTCTTTTAGCTGCGCAACGTAATTGCGTATTCGGAGATTCTAGTAATATATCGCCAAATACTCTTAATGTATCACCAGAAATTTCAATACTCTGCTCGTCAATGCTACTTAAAGCAGCTATAGCATTGTCAATCAACACTGGATTTTTTAAAGCGTTCTATAGGGCGCTAATGATAGTAGATGGTAATTTGTTATCGTTTTCTTTGTGCTTTATATGATAAAGTAAAGCGTACAACTGTGACACAAAACGAACAGTATAAAAGGATCATCAAGTGAAAAAAAGCAGCAAACAAATAAAACTTTACAACACAGGTTAATGTAGTAAATTGATAATGATAGAAGAAAGTACAATTTTAAAAAGGAGAGTATTACGTTCAGAGGATGCTACTGCAGTTCAAGTAAAGTCAGTGATTTACTTACTGGAGAATAGCAGAATGGTATATAGAAGGTGGTTAGCTGGGTCTCGCGTCTACTGGGAAATTTCTTTCTACATATGTATCCTATGTATCCAAAAAGATTCAGAAGACTATCAGTCAATGGTCCAAGCTGCAGACTTAATCCAATGAATCATCTAATCATGCATTCGATATAACCATTTTTATTCCACGACTGATTCACACCCTGGCAATGATTTGTCTAGCCAATTAATGAAACAATCCTTCAGCTGTTGACCAAGTTCTCTTGTAGGACATGCTAACTCAATCGGTTCTTTACTACCATAAACTACAATAGTATTTTCAGCAACTGTAATAGCATAATGGTGTACAGTGAACACTTTTCTGATAATGTCAAGCCAAAACGGAATTCCTGTTATTAAAAACGCTCTGACAAATTCTTCTGGAGAAGTATCCTCCAAAAATCGGTCGTTCGTCTTCTCAATGCACACCGAAAGTTTCTTAACTGCGTCATTCTTTACACCTGACATAGATGGCAACAAACCCAAAATCTTTCTAATGGTCGACCTTATAAAGCTCTCCCTGAGAGGGTTTTCATGAAGATATGCATCTAATAACCTTTCGATCGCTTCATTGGTCGCTGCTTTCTTACCCATATTCTTGAGAGCCTCGCACGCCATAATTGTGACTTGATCATTCATATCACTAAGTCGAATCAAAAGTTTCTTAATCACTTCATCGATCGCTGCTTTTTCACCCATTTTAGCGAGAGCGTCGCACGCACATCTTCTGACGCCACGATCTCTATCAACAAGTAGAATCGAGAGTCTATTAATCACTTCATCGGTTGCTACTTTTTTACCCATTTTAGCGAGAGCGTCGCACGCATGTCTTCTGACGACAGGATCTCTATCATCAAGTAGAATCGAGAGTCTATTAATCACTTCATGGCTCATTGCTTTTTCACCCATTTTAGCGAGAGCGTAGCACGCCTTACTTATGACGCTATCATCTCTATCATCAAGTAGAATCAGAAGTTTATTAATCACTTCATCGGTTGCTGCTCTTTCACCGATTTCTCCGAGAATGTCGCACGCACTCATTCTGACGCCAACATTCGTATGATCAAGTAGACTCAGAAGTTTATTAATTACTTCATTCGTTGCTGCTTTTTGTCCCATTTCCACGAGAGCTTTCCGTGCACGACTTCCTACCTCATGATTCATTTTGTTAGGCCACCTAATAGTTTCTCTAGTCTCTCGATCGTTGTTATGCTTGTTCAAGTGTGCCCGATACGCATTGTTTGTATCACAAGATAAAATTAGGAGTCTCTCAATCACTTCATCTGTTGCAGCTTTCGCCCCCATCTTTTCGAACGCTTTACAGGCACTTATGCTAATGAGTATATCATTGTTGTTAAGTGCTGCTAGATTTAAACTAATCCATTCTTTGTACGGATGGGTAATGGGTAAATCATTAGTGAAGCTACATGCTCTCCGTCTTATATGAGTATTTTCAACTTTATACAACTTTATGAATGTGTCAAGTATTTCTGGTTGATTTACTAAGGACAGGCTTCTTTGTAATGACTCAAAGAATCCACGGTCTGAATTGCCATAGTCCACAAATACATGATATTTAACCCATTGGGTTATTGAATTCATTAACTCTTCAAAGTGTGGAATCTGTCTGTCACATTCGGCCTCCTCTAAGCAAGCAATGGCAATCTGTACATGCCTGAAACCAACGAGATCCAATGGCTCTCCCAATAACGTCTCCCAGAATAAATTCCTGCATTGTTCGTCAATGAGAAGACCAGAGGCAAAAGTGAAGATTAACTCGAAGCGGTTTTAATGAAATCGATTGCCTTCTTCTTTTGATCTGCAGTGCCATTCAAAGTTTTTACCAAATATCGTGCTGCAAAGTGTTCTTGGAAGCCGAGATGAAGAAAGTAATGCGCTTTGTCTGATTCAATAGAAGTACCAATTGGTGTATAGCCTAAAGATTTTAGAATACCGATGTTGAGTAATTGTGGATGATCGTTTAAGGAATATCCGGTCTCCTTCTCTGCTTTTTTGAGCAATTTTGGCGACAAAATGACAGTGTATTCTAGCATTCCCTGAAAAGCCAACGTTTCTAAGAATGCCAATTCTTCTTGGCAATATTTATAAACGGCATCTCTTCCTTTTTGTGGACTTGCACTATTTTGTTTTTGTAGATATCGTCGGCACAGCCATTCAATCATTGTATCGTACACAGCTGTAGTTGTCAACATTGTTGTTTCTGACCAATCAGTGTCACACCAAAGACCGCACATGAGTTCTAAATTTACTGGAATATGAACGATACCCCAAACTCTAGGATTACGTTTTAAGAAGCTCAGTTGGTTTTGAGCTTGAAGCGGTGCATTGCTTATTTCGTCTTTAAGTTGGTCAAAAAACTGTTCAACATACTTTGTAATATTATCATCTGTAAAACCTATAATTTCTAGTTGTACATTGTATGGCAAGGTAATCAAGTATTGGCGCGATGTCAATATGTGATGTTGAGTCCTAACCTGATCAATTAAATCTTGCAGATAGTCGGGTATATTTTTCACC